CCCCAAAACCCCAAAACCCCAAAACCCCAAAACCCCATTAATAAAAATAATTATTGAAAGTAAGTACTTTGATAAATATATTTTAAGATGAGTAAATGGAATTTAGTAAACCATCATTCCTCAATTCAGAGGAGACAAAGTAGTGATCTATTCCCCAAATCGCTTGATAATCCTCCTAATATTCGTATTTAAAAAGCCGAAACGATCTAGAGATAACTTGTAAAGTTTTGTTTATAACCATTAGACTCAGGTTATCAGGAAGCCAGTACGCAGCAGCAAGTGTTCTAGACTACGAGTAAAAATCACAATTACTAATTTACCTCTGGTTCAAAAGCTTGAGGCCGAGAAAATCAGAAGAAAGCGAGACCTGAGGCATATGAGGTCAAATGATGTAATAGCTGGTAGTCTTGGTAACTTGCGGAATTCAAGCCATGGGAGTTTATATAATGTAAATCCTCCAAACTCTGCTCACCAATGGGGAGATTTTTCATTAGCTCACGCTGAAAATACGAAGCACTCGCAGGTTATTTTCCCTAGTGATGAAATCACAAATGAGACTATAAGAAGAGAGAACAAGTTGAGAGAGAAGAAGATGAACGATCTTCAGCAGTTCAATGATTTGTATGAATATCTCAATACAAGGAACAAAACTAAATCCATAAATATGGCCAAACCTAGCAAAAAGACTAGGAACAAATTAGAAGTGGCCCTTCATACAGAGAAGTACCAAGCTATGGACTCAAACCTTAACCCAATCAGAGAGATGGAAGAGCCAGACTCCGGTTGAGCTATCCCTGAGAAAAGAAAGCTAAACTGTAAGCAAGCCACCTATTTTGGGAAGGTTTGGCACATTAATTTCTTGATTTAGCATAAATTTATAAAATTTAGATAAATAAACTCAGTTTTTAATAAGAAAAAAGAAGTGGCCAATAACACACTCAAGAAATCGGATGTGCACAGAAGCGTAGACCCTGACTATAGAATGATCAGAGGTAATATTTATTCCAACTCATGCTTTAGGGGAGAGAAAAAGAGCAATCACTCACCTCAGGAAGAGGTCTGATAATAATCTTGAAAAGGCGAACAGCCATAAAGATCCCAATTCCAATAATAAGTATGGTGATGTATAACTTTTGAGCAAAAGAGTCCTAAAACCTCCTCAAAATGTACAAAAGAATGTTCAGAAAATCACACAGAATAGGCAAGAAAGGTCAAATTCAGATCTTTCTCAGACTATGAATCAAAAAGTTGATCCTCGGTCTTCTACACCTAATTTGAAGGACTCTCCTCAATCACTACTTGGTAGAAGGAATGCTATCAGGTTTAATTTCAGTAATGCACGGTATGGACATGAATAATAGACAATCTATAGTCCAATGGCAACAACTCTTAAGAAGGATAGTATAACTCCGATCCTAGTCCATAGCTCAGTTCTACAAAAGGATAAAGAAAAAGAGCAAGAACTTAGTGACCTAGATCAGAGTAATCTCTTTTTAAGCTTACTGACAAAATAGGCTTTTATTCAAAAGATGGAAAAGATGCAACTATAGATAAAAAACCAACTAAGAAAATGAAAGAAACCCCTGCTCTTTCTATAACTCCAGATCTTAGTGTTACACAGAGTCTTAAGTATTCGGTTAAATTTATTTTTAGGAAGCTTATGGCTCAAGATACGACCAAGAATTCCAAAATATTCAGAAGAAAACCAAATATTTTGGCTCAAAAGGGAAAAATATCAAGTCCTAAAAGTAAGCTTTCTGGTAAATTGTAGAATTCCAAAGGCTTGGGACGGAGCATATAGAGTCCCTCGATCAAAATAGGAAGAGGCTGATTTTGCTAGACATGAAGAAACGGAAAAATAATAAACGGCCACAGGTTTTAAGAAGACTTAAGGTTATCCATAAAGAAATTGGTCATAGCCATCCAACTACTTTTATCAGAAACTCAACCCGGTTGTTCTCAGTGAGTAGCAAGGTTTACTCTGTAGAGTCAAGATGTTCAGCAGGTTGATGAAGAAATTAAACTGAAGAAAGATTTTGAGCATAAAGAATCTGTAGGAGCCCATTCCTCTGCTGTTCAAAATTCTCTTGAGACAGAAGAAATTTCGGGAGATAAATCCTCTAGTTCTCTGGACACAATAATTGAGCCAAATAGCATACCATATTCATTTATGTCAAAACCTGGTAATATTGGTTACTTTATCTTTAGTTGTACAGTCCTCTAAACTGAAGAGGTCAATGCAAATTTTGCCAAAAAGAATATCTAAATTAGGATTTTCTACTTCAGATCCTCAAAGAATTAAGGCTGAGCCAAAAGTACTTTCTCGAAGGGTCTCAAAGTTTCTAAACATCCCGACATAGGAACATAAGTAGTTCACAGTTTGAATTATAATGAACCAGATTTTACCGCAAACTTATATAGAGTTAAAGATCTCATAATGCTATTTGGCCTAAAATTGTTAGGCTCATCTGGTTTCCTACAGAGCAAGAATCTATCTTTAGCAAGTTTACAGGGTTCTGGTTCAACCAAAAGAGGGCAGTTATCTGCCTAAAACTAGGACAGCCTAGTACAGTTACTCTAATGTTACTATCATATTTTCTGTAAACTCTCAATGAAGGGCAAGGATAAAGGGGTTTTGGGGTTTTGGGGTTTTGGGG